TAAAGGCAATTGTGTGCGTTATTGGAGGGGGCCGAGTGTGTGCACTGTATGTGCACACGGATCCGGGTGCATTGGTGGGATGTACGTGCATGCGGGGAGCTGGGTGAGTGCATTTCTGTGCATTTAACTGCAGGTGTGCGAAGCCTGTCCTAGGAGAGGTGAGTGCTGTGTGTGCATGGACGAGGGGTGGGTGCCCCCGCGCTGTGTATGCTGCTGTGGGGGGCATCTCAGATGACCTCCACTTGTGAGTGGGGGGAGCCCCTAGGCATGCCCAGGGCTTTGCTGCCGCTCTTACATTTGCTCCGCTCTGTTTTTTTGAGCAGGATGAGCCCACCTGGTGCACACGTGCATGCCTACGTGTGTATACACATATATGCATGCAAATATGTGGGCATGCACACTCGAGGACACACGCGCTTGCATGTATTCCCATGCACACATGTGCACTCACACGTGTGGTTGTCCCCTCTCCTGCCAGCACCCGTTTGTCCCTGGGGTGACTCAGTGCTACCAGGCACACTGCAGCGCTGGCACCCACCCCTGGGCATGCAGAGCCCTGCAGAGCCCTGGCTCTTTCCCGGCATGGGCAGGATGAGGCCGTGGTGTCCCCCCATCAGGTGGGTGTGCGGACACCGGGCAAAGCCACAAGCCAGGGTAAGACCCAGCATGGCAGTCCCGCTGCCACTCGCACCACCCCAGCACCTTGCTCCAGTGGGGCCAGGTCCCATGGCCAAACTGGGGCTCTCTCCTGCTGGGAGCCTCTCTGCAGGATCCCCTTGCTCTTCTACTGACAGGAGCACCAGGCATTTGTCCCTTCCTTCCTCCTCTCTGGGGACAGTGGTAGCAGGAGCAGCTGCCTCCTCCTTGGGCTCCTTTGTCCAGGGACAGCAGATGGTTTGTGGAATCATGAAGCACCCCGGTTCCAAGCAGCATCACCAGCACCGAGATGCTGATGTGAGTGGCTTCACCCCAGCTCACCCTGTATGGTCCGCAAAGGACTTTCCTGGGAGCTGCAGTGCGGGAGCAGCCCGGTCCTGGTGCAGCGCCCCAGCCCATGCGCCACTGGAAAATGCACCCTGTCCCAGCCCTAAGAACAGGGAGAGCGGGGCCGCTCCGCAGCCGTCAGGGCCCCCAGGCGCTGTTTCTCTTTGCACATGAGATAAAGCAGCTGTTTGCATCCCGTTTTGGCTCTAGGCAGCTGGAGCTTGCCCCTCTCCATGCACTCCTGCTGCGGCATGGCCAGGGACCTCCCAGCACGTGCCAACTCCGGCTGGGGACCCGGCATGTGCTAGCTCCATCTGGGAACCTCCCAGCGCGTGTTAGCTCTGTCTGGGGACTCGGCGCATCCCTGTGCCTCAGTCTCTGCTGCAGGCTGGGGAGGGGGTGCTGCCCATTCTGCCGCACTGCCCCAAGGACCCTATGGCCCCATGTCGGTGGGGAGGACCCACATGGTCCCTCTTCCTCCCTCACATCCCTTCCGCAGTGCTCCAGCCTGGTGCAGTGTGAGGTGGTCCAAGGGGTCAGGGTGTCCCTGCTGCTTTCACCAGCACAGCTCTGCTCTTCCTTTCACCCTCCGTGGTGCTGTAGCAGCTCTGGGACTCAGTACATGGGTCAAGTGTTTCCGTGCTCAGGGCCCCCCAGGCAGCCGGGCAGACCAGGTCCTCGCTGTCCTCCCACTCAGCAGCCCCTTGGCACCACCAGGCTCTGGCCGATGCTGCTGCTGGAGAGGAGAGGGCCCCCGCAGACAAACAGGTATCGACGGCTGTGGCCGCAGCGAGTGGATACTGTAGGTACCAATGGACACGGCAGAGTGCAGAGCAGATGGAGAGATACTCTAAACAGAGAGATGCCGCAGGAGGAATCGGGAGATAGATCCTGCGCCTGATCGATAGCCGCCGCATGTGCAGGGATGGCAAGATGGAGCGAGCCGTGGGGGAAGGTGCTCGGCAGGCAGGGACCTGCATTTGTCCCGGTGATGCCTTCAGACACGGCTCTGGTGCACGGGGGGCTGGTTTGGGAGGAGAGCGGAGCCGCATTTCGGCAAGGGGACCGAGTGGAGCCCTTGGTCACCTCCAGCTGCCCTGAAGGGGTTTGGTGCTGCTGAGGTGCCCTGGGGTCCTGCCTGGCCTCCATCCCATCCCCAAGGCAATGGGGGAAGCTCTGGGGCGAGGAGAAGCCAGGCAGAGCCGTGGGGCAGCAGGGCTGTGCTTGGTGCACGGGGATGACGGGAGCTGGAGGAGCAATGGGGCACGCGGATGCTGCACCCCCCGGCACGGGACCCAGCCCCGCCATTGCCTCTCTGGAGCGGACAAGGGGCACTTTGGTTATGAGCCCTGGCCTGGGGTGAGCGCGCTGGCTTTTCCCCCCACTCCCCACTCCGTGCCTCAGTTTCCCAACCTGAATCCAAGGACTGCAAGCCTCAAGGAGAGGGGAGCCAGTCCAACATGAACATGGGCATGGATGGGTCTGGAGGAAGAGGAGAGGAGGAAGGAGCAGTGTTCGCAGGTGGGCACGGACCTGCGGGACACGGGATCCATCTCTCACCCGCTGCTCACGGGAGTCACTTACCCACTCCGCAACAGGCTGCAGATGCGGCCGCAAGGGGAAGGACCCCTGCTTGGGAGCCTCGCACGCCTGGCGCTGCGGGACAGGACAGCCGCTGTCCTGCCCGGCACGGGGACGTGCAGCCAGCGCCACAGCAGCCAGCACGGAGGCGGCGGCGGCCCCGGAGCCGGTGCTGGGATCCCCCCGCCCGCACGGGCCTTATTGACACGGCCGCTATGGAAAACACTGCTGAGATTGTTCACACTAATGTTATTTAGCAGCAATATTTCCGTAATAAAAGAAATCAATGGGCAAGAGAAAAGACCTGTCCGGCGCTTTGATTTTCTCATTTTAATGGCATACTTATTTACTCCCACCACCGTGCCCATCGGATTTTCATTACGCGGCCTTCGCTGTAAGTGGAGCGGTATTGATACGAGCTGCTGAGTTAGCGCCTTCCTGCGCACGCCGACGCGGGATTACTCATGTTCCTCGACAGGCTTCCCGCGCATCCCGCGGTGCCGTCCGCAGCGGGATGGCTCTGGATCGCACCCTGCGCTTCCCATATCCGCATGGATGCGCACAGCTCTGTCCCAGGGTGCTCTGTGCCGCAGGAGCCTCCAGTCTCCTTGCACACATGGATGTTTTCCGTCGTGTTTTGCCCCAGAGGACTTGTGGCACGGTGATGCTGCTGAGAACGAGCAACTCGCTACACTGATGCAGTGCCCGTGCAGCCTGAGCATGGCCCAGGGGTGCGCACCGCAGGGAAGCCCCAAGCAAGAGCCCAACCAACACATCTATAGGGTGAGCTGGCATCAGCCTGTCTGCTGTGGGCACGGATCCTCCCGAGGAAAGAGCTTCCCGGACTCCTGGGTCCCTAGTGGAAGTGCAGCCGCGACTCAGTCCTGGGCGATTACAACGGCAGCGGCCAGCAGAGTAACAGCACCATCTCCTGCCGGCTTGCGGGAGCGGAGACGGACCCGCTCCAACGCAGCACCCAACCTCCAGCACCTGGCAGGGCTCTTCCCAACCCCAAGAGTCCCCCTGCTCCAGTGTGGAGCCAAGAGCATCCGGACGGCGCCCGACCTCGCGCCCTTCCCGCATCGCAGCAGTGCTCCAGAGACTCTCCCAAGACGCCAGGCTGGTCGCATGAACATGTTTATTACTGACATCTTGTTCCGAGTGGCAAGTTCGGAGGCAGCCCACACACGGGTCTGCTGGTGGCAGGATGAGGGCGGGTGGAGGAGG